TCAGAACTCAGGTATTGATGCAAAATAACCAATAACCCTTCTATAGATAAGAGAAATAAGGTGAGTTTACTTGAGCCAGAGTGAGGATTATAACCCGGTTTACAGTCCAGTCTTATATCTTTTTAGGACAAAGAATATACATTAAACACACCCAGGATACATTTTCATCAAAGTTTCAAAGAGGTATTCAATTGCAAATTAGCAGGTCAGTGTGACTGTGACGTCAGGAAAGGGACTAATCCGGGCATTACCAACAGGGCGGGCATTACCAACAGGGCGTAGGAGGGGAAGTATGCATTCTTATCTTAAGAGAGTCTTTTTTTGTGTGTGCAGAAGATCAGCCCTGAGCTAACATCTGCCAATCCTCATCTTTTTGCTGAGGAAGACTGGCCCTGGGCTAACATCCATGCCCAGCTTCCTCCACTTTATATGTGATGCCACCACAGCATGGCTTGACAAGCGGTGCGTCGGTGCACGCCCGGGATCCGAACCGGCGAACCCCGGGCCGCGGCAGCTGAGCACAAGCACTTAACGCTTGCACCACTTGGCCGGCCCCTTCTCATATTAAAATCTTAATGATAGAGGTCACCCTGTGGCTTAGCAGTTAAGTGCGCGCGCTCCGCTACTGGCGGCCCAGATTCAGAACCTGGGCGCGCACCGATGCGCTGCTTCTCCAGCCATGCTGAGGCGGCGTCCCACATACAGCAACTAGAAGGATGTGCAACTATGACATACAACTATCTACTGGGGCTTTGGGGCAAAAAAGGAGGAGGATTGGCAATAGATGTTAGCTCAGAGCTGGTCTTCCTCAGCAAAAAGAGGAGAACCAGCATGGATGTTAGCTCAGGGCTGATCTACCCCACAAAAAAAAAAAAATCTTAATGATGTGTTATTTATTGCTATTTTCCCCCAAATGGTCAGTTGATCCCAGGGTGACTTATTAATAGCAGCTAATTAATGTAAATCATATAAGCATTCATGAAAATTAAACAACCATATATAATTCCATAACAACTAATATATGTAAATCACAAACAAACAAACCCAAAACCAAACCAACCACCAGGATATTAGAAGCCACCATGGAATACAAACTGTGACAAGTGAACCACAGCACAAATTATACAAATGACCTTCAAGGGGGCGCAAGAGAGGAGGCCTCACCTAAGTGACTTGGGATACCAGTGCTTTCACTGGATGCTCTGGGCTCGACACAGAAACGAGGGGACGCCATCCAGAAGCCAGTCAGGGAAGGTTTCTCACAGGGGTACAGTACAGGTTAGCAGTTCTGACACCAGGCTAGCTGGACACTTAAAGGAATGACATCTTATGAGCAAGTATCGCGTAGATGAGAGCCAAGTTTCTCACTGACAGAGAAAGAAGTCACAAATAAGGAAAGAGGAGGAGGGAATGAATCCTGTGTTGTTGGGTTGGAATCAAAGATATCAGAATGAACTCATGGTTTTTTTGTTTTGTTTTTGTTTTTTAATTTTATTTATGTTTCCCCCAAAGCCCCAGTAGATAGTTGTATGTCATAGCTGCACATCCTTCTAGTTGCTGTATGTGGGATGCGGCCTCAGCATGGCCGGAGGAGCGGTGCGTTGGTGCGCGCCCGGGATCCGAACCCGGGCCGCCAGCAGTGGAGCGCGCACACTTAACGGCTAAGCCACGGGGCCGGCCGGAACTCATGGTTTTTCTAATGTATATATACAGCTAGAGAGAGCAGGAGTGAATACGGGTGTGCACATGCATGAGTTAGTATATGCATGTCCCAGCTCTGTCCCCGAGGCCCAGAAGCAACGACAGCCCAGTAGCAACAAGCACAGCCAGCACCCAGCTCCTGTTTCCATGAAAGGAACCAGGGACTAGAAGGTGAGCCTGGAGCCTCCTGTGGTGCCAGAAAGTCAGGAAGGGCTTAAAAAAGGACACGGCATGTCAAAAGGGCACAGGAGGAACCCTAACAAGCTCCCCACAGCCAAAGCTAGAACATTCTGAGCAACAAAATAAGTTACCAGATTATGACTCAGAATGAAATAAATATCCATGCATCCATACTGTAGTATCCATACTGAAATAAATAACTGAATAAATGGTGGAGAAGGGACTGCTCTTTCTTAGGAAAGAATTCCAATTAATGTCAAAGGAATGAGGAAAATGTAAAAAATCACCATTAAACACCACAGTAATAATTATTGCTTAGGCAATATAGCATAGGATGCTAAAATTAGCAGGCAAAACTCTGAGAAACAGGTATTCACTAAGTCTCAGTTTCTCCCCCAAGATATTTATGGGTTTCAGAAGGGAGAACAGTAACTCTAAGAAGAGAAACCCAGCAGCTCCCACCTGGACTGAGTGAGGTCACATCGCCAGCAATAGGACAGGCAGATTGCCTATCTCATAGGATTCACTGAGACGGGGACACCCCATCTGTGGTATTCTTGCCCAAAATATATAACCCTGGGCTAATCATAAAGAAGTGAGACAGGGGCTGGCCCCGTGGCGTAGCGGTTAAGTGCGCACACTCTGCTGCTGGTGGCCTGGGGTTTGGATCCCAGGCGCGCACCAATGCACTGCTTGTCAGGCTATGCTGTAGCGGCATCCCATATAGAAAAAGTGGAGAAAGATGGGCACAGATGTTAGCCCAGGACCAGTCTTCCTCAGCAAAAAGAGGAGGATTAGCACGGATGTTAGCTCAGGGCTGATCTTCCTCATAAAAAAAAAAAAAGAAGAACGTGAAGGAGAAAACATGCAAAACCAACAAGTATTATTTCATCCTTCACTCATCCAACCAATATTTTAGGGGATGGAGTGCCGGCCCTTGAAGGGAAGCCCAGCATCACTCTGCAGGCGACTGGACGTCTGGTCTGCCTTGCATCACGATGTCATCTCTGCACACTCAACAGCACCCTCTTTTTCCCTTTCAAAAGCATCCCAGCAGGGACAAGAAATTCCACGGTCCTCTAGCTCTTGAAGTAAAATGAGGTTTTCCTTGTTCCACAAATAAGGAAGCTAAGGCTTAGAGCGGTGGAGAGGCTTCTCCCAGCTGTCACACTCACCTCCCTCAAGGAGTCCAGGTGGCATCCAGCTCCACACACCCCACTGGACTCGCCTGCCAAATCTCAAGGTTTTATTAAGTCATCCCCCCCCAACTTGGCCTCCAGCTCCTGTGACATCACTCCTCCCTGCTTCTCCTGTCACCTCCAACCCTCCCTGGGCCACACCATCCGCTGCCGCTTCACTAGTGTCCACATGCCAACAGCTGCCAAATTGGAGATGTCCGGCTCAAAGCAACATTGTGCGCCCAAATCTAGACACCTGCCTCCTAGGTCCAGTACTGAGCATGGCATCTTCCCCTTCGCCTGCTTTCTTTCTGGGGCTTTCTCTCCACTAATGACGGCCTCCTACTCAGCCCTGCTAGGCCTCTACTCATGCTGCCCAACAAGCCCCCACAGCCTGGTCATTGCTCCCTCCAAACACCACTGTGTTGTCACCCCATGGCTCCCCATCCTAGTGGCCGTCAGTTCCAGGATTTACGGCCTCTGACCTGGGCCCACCTTGCCCCTCCATCAAATGCTCTCTTCAGCTTCTCAGCAGCAGGGAGCAAGATGACCCACTGCCTCTCCTGTCAACAATGTCCAGAAGGCAGTCTCCCCGTCTGGCATGCGCCTGCTCAACCCAAGGCCATCTCCTCAGGGACACTGCCCGACTCTGCCTGAATGATCTGACCTCTGTCACATCTACCCCTCTCGGCCACAGCAGCTAAAGCTGAGCATTTGAGGATCTCTCCCCCTGCTGGACTGGGCTCCTCTGAGGGCTGAGGTGAGTCATCTTATTCATCTTTCCATTCAGTGCCTGGCATGGCGCAGGCTGCTCAAGCGGCAGCCACTGGCTCTGTAAGGATAGCATTGTAGCTGACAGTTAAAGGGCCACCCTTAGTCACGCCCCTCCTGTGTGACTCACTCTAGCCCTGTCTCAAACATGGAAGCGGCCTTGGTAGCTGCCTCCCAGGAGAGGTGAGCCTGAGCTTCTGTCTTGGCCTTGCTTACTGCCATCAGCCCCCTCTGGTCCCATCTGTAAGGTTCGGGGTGGCTCCAGAGCTCCACTCTCCCTGCTGCCATTCAGCTCTCCCCATAGTCCCTGTTCTTGAAAGGCTGTCACCATCTTCTAACCAACCTACCATCAGGAGATAAAGTCTGCCCCTCCCGCCCCACCCCAGAATGTGCTTCTGAGCCACAGAACCAGGACCCTCAGCTCTGCTAGGTTTTAGGCAGAATTGAGTAGCCCACAGGCATGCCCTCCAGAGCAGGGAGGCGGAAGAAAAAGACTTCAGATGGATCTCCATACCCTGCCTCCCACAGGAAGCTTGGCCCCTCCTGAACCACACTGCAGGGCAGGCTGGGCGTTGAGGCAAGTGATGGTCACCAGCCTGCTCTATTCTGTCTCAGAGGGGGTCCAGACGGGCACATGTGTCTGCAAGCCCCTTCAGTTTTCTGCAGGTCAAAAGAGACTCTGCCAGCTTCCACTAGCTGTTCCACCAAATACACAATTAAGAGAACACACTTACACCTTGTTCCCCCCTTGATGAGAAAGACCGAGAGAAACACCAGGGGAATAGGCTGCAAAGTCAGAAGTGCTGAGTCTGGGTTTCTGAGAACCACAGCACCAGAAGGAAAGAACAGCGCAACCTCATCATCTGAAATCTGGCAGCGACATGAGGTGCCTGCCATCCCTCACCTCATGGCACAGGCAATCAATAGGCAGCTGCAGGCAGAGGGACTACTGCCCCCTGTCCTCCCACCTACCGAGTCAGAGAGGAAGGAGTTAGGATCAGTGGGAGAGAAATGGTACAGTAACAGCCACCACCCCCTGAAGCACTAACTCCAAACCCACACCAGGATGCCAGATGCCCCCTCCTCAGGTCCCATGTCCCTCCCTCCCACCTGGGCCCACACTGAAGTTCTGGCCAGGCAAGGACTCCAACAGTGGGATGAATCAAACAGTTCCAGTTCTACACGCATTTCTATTTTATTATGGCAAAGGTGAAAACACCACCTTCTCCACAACAGCAATCAGTAAAATTTATCCCAAAAATAACTTGGTACAAAACAGGTCTGTTTCAGAATTAAAAAAAAAACAAAACAAAACCAAAAAACAAAAAAAACCTTTACAAGAGTTTTAAATCCTATTTTAAAACATAAAAGAAACAAATCCATCATTGGCCGCACAGCCCCAGTCTGCCACCCTCCTCCCGTCAGGGAGTGCACACGAGATGTCTGGGTCCTGTCCCATGCACGGATTTGCTGGTCTGTTTAACTGGTGTCCATCTGAAACACAGGTAAAAAGAGGTTCTCACTCAAAACAGGGTCCCACACACCAGTCGGGCTTCGGTTGGCCCCAGCCTGGCCCTCGTCTGGGACTTACTCTTGCATTATAAGCATCCAGCTGGGCGTCCAACTCCTCTGCAGAAAGCTGCTGCTTTGAACTCCTGCCAGTGCCTCTGCCCCTGCCCCGGCTGCCTCCACGGGTGCCTCTCCGGGAGCCACCACCACCGAAACCTCCAGAACCACGGTTTCTAGTCATTCCACCTCTGTTTACACTAGCAAGGAAAAGGACACTCATTCCCATAAATGGAGAGGCCTGAAGGATGAGCGGCCACACACCACAGGCCAACCCCATCCCAGAGGCCCCACAACTCACCTCTGTGCAGGCCTCCGCTGTGTGTCAATCTGTGACGTGACAAGCTGAATGTTCATGGGGCGGCCTGTGGCAAAGAATACAAGAGGGCACATTCCAGTTAGAGGATTCTGAGACTTGCCCAGGTGGCACCATACCCTGATCTCCAGGCAAGCACTGGAAAGGCACTCTGTGTGCCTCAAAGGCTCCTGACAAGAGATGTGGCCTGGAGATACCGTCGGGAGAATAAGACGGCACCAACGACAACCCCAGCAACACCTTGCTCTTTCTTAGTCCAGTTGAGGTGGGTGTCTGTTCAGGTGTCCAAGGTGCTCACGGGCAGAAAGATGTGGGTGACCTGATGGAAGAAGAACTGGTACCTTTGTCTTTATGACTATAGCCCCGAACTCAGAGATGTACTATAGCAGTTCTGAGAAGACTTCACGGAAGTGAATCTTCCGGAAGGAGCTGAAGGAGGGGAGGGATGTAGCTTGCTGGATGGGGGTTCACAAGAGGTTGGTTCAGATGTGTGGGGCAGCACGAGAGGTGTCAGAATAGAAGAGAGAGACAAAGGGGTGAATACAAAGTGCCTTCAGCCAGAGAAGTAAGCCGTATTCCTGCATGGACAGGTGCCAGCCCCAAACTCCACAAACTAGATACAGCCCTCAGTCTTCCTGGGCTGACCCCAAACGCACCATCCAAAGGGACACCGTTGTACTGTTTCATAGCTTTCAGGGCATCTGCCTTCCGTTCAAAGTGCACATCAGCTGTTCCTAAACTGCGGCCAGAGCGATCATAGTGCACGGCCGCCTTCTTCAGAGTTCCAAATTCAGCAAAGAGTTCCTGGGAATTGGAAAGAACAGCTGTTAGCAAAGCTGTTTTTCTTCTGGTGGCCCAGGGACAATCCCTGGAAGTGTGAGCTGCTTTGGGGATATTTCCCTGGGAGGCAGACTTACGTATGGGGGCAGGGCAGTGGTAGCGGGAACTGGGGGAAGGGATGGGGCAGGTGGGACAGCAACTTCCAGGAGCAGCTGGGCCTGAGGGCTCCTGCCAACTTGGGGACCTGACACCTATACTGTGATGCAGGTAAACGATCACAAAGCCCACCAGTGAAAGGCACGAGACTAAGTCACTATCTTCTTCGACAAAGGAAAATTTACAACACACTCAAGGACTGTGCCAAGAAACAGCAAAGGCCAAGATCACAGAGCAAGGGATGCTATCTAACATGTGGACCAGCTCAAAGGGCCCGCTGATTCGGGAGCCCTGACCCAGCCCCTCCCCCAGGGCAGATTCTGGCTCACCTTTCCCTCTCCTCCTACTCAAGCCTGCCGCAAAGTCTGAAGTCAAGCGCTGCCATGGAAACTGCCCTGACCTCAGGCAGGCTGGGAGTTGGAGAGGGAACCCAGAGTGTGGGGCTACTCCGGCCGCAGGCACACAGCGGGAAGTGGAGTTCACCAAAAGCGGTTTCCAGTGGATGCCAGAAACCACCTTAAAAAAAGTGTTGAGACACTGTGAGTGCTCACCAGCCTTGCTCTGTCCTCCCACGGTAAAGTCAAACGCCTGGGCTCTGGGAAATTTAACCCAGGAAGGCCCAGTACCCTGACCCAGCCATCTCCAAGACTGACCCCCAAAATATTGTTACTAAACCAGAAAAGAAGTTTAAACGCGTTCGGAATTCAATCAAAGTAAAAAAAAAAAAAAAAAAGGCTTCAACCAAAGATAGCTTTGAGAATCATGCCACTAACAAGACCCAGGGGGATGGTGATAAGTGAGACAACAGGACACAAGTTCCTTATGAGACACAAGGCTCAAGGCAAACAGAGCTGGAAAGATGACCGGCACCATTCTGCTTCTGTGCTTTTCCAGTTCTACAAAAGAAAATCTTTCTCCTCCCAACAAATCATTAAAACAGATACTAATTAAAGCAAGCAAGCAGCCTAGCTTTATCAGTAACACAGGAACCACTCATATTTAACCAGTCTTTTCCTGTTAGAAACTGGGAGCCCCGGCAGAGGATTTCCACTCACAGAACACATCTTAGTAAGGAGCAGCAACTCCTTAGACCAAGCTGGGGGCCTGTCTCCCAACACAAACTGACCTACTTGTGGGACTTGCAACTCTGGCATGACCTCTGCTTTGCACTCCTGCCGCCCCTTACAGGGGACAGCCGCTAGCTCTTGGGTGCCTGGGAGGGCTCACTGTCTTAAGATGGGGGAGGACTTCAGGCCACATCCCAAACAACACGACAGATTCCGTGCAGGGTGAACTGCTCACCGAGAAGCTCCAAACCCTTACCTGAATATCAGCGTCGGATACTCCAAAATCCAGATTTGACACCAGCAGTTTCCCACCCGTCTCCACGCCGGCACCACCCCCAAATCCGCTGTCGAAAAGGTCGTGTTGCCATTTGTCAGGAAGTTGTTTCGGCTGAAGGAAAAGAAAAACACCAGAACAGAAACAGACCCATTGAGTCTCACTCCAGGGCTCTCTCGCGCGCTCACGGCCACGGCAAGACCCTCTCCGATCGGAGCCCGGAGAAGAGAGCCCAGAGGACACCGCAGTCCTCCGCTTCCCGCCTGCGCGCGCTGGGCCGCAGCCGACTCAGCCGATGCCCCATGCCCCGCAACTTCTCGGTTCCCTCCTACGAACGTCCCGCCGCCAGTGCGGCCGCGCCCTACACCCCCTCCGCCCCCGGCGCCACGAGGCCCGGCGCCCAGCCGAGACAAAAGGCCGGCAGGGTCTCCGCCTCCTAGGCCCGGCCGGCCGCGCGACCTCCCCGTCCAGCCCGGCGCCCGAGCC